GGAATAAGATTTTTTCTTTTTAAAACATTTGTTTGCATTTTATATTTTTAGAATGTAACCATGATACTAGAACTCATATAATTGACCATAACTTATAATGATGGTTATCTTATTTAGGAGCTTACTTATTTAGGAGTTTAGGAGCATTGTCCCAAAGGTTTTAAAAACATGCTATTTCTGATAAATTGTCACAAAAATATATAGCTGTAAAAATATGTTCAAACGCTTGAATACTTTCCTTAATAAAAAACCGTGAGAATCACTTATACAAAACTATTTAAACATACCTACATATTCCGAAATCTACATAATTCAAAATTTGGAAAGTAAAGTTCTTTGACTAGTCGTCTCAACAGAAACATCATTAAAATCCTAGAATTCCACAATCGTACTTTATTGATAGAAAAAAAGTGAGAATAAAGATCGGTATTCTTGAATGAAAATTTAAACAGTATTGTAGAACACTGTTGTATATTCTCTCCTACAATACCAAATACTATTTAAATTTTCATCCTACAATACCGCTCCTTATTTTCATTTTTTTCTATAGAATATTGTTTAAATTTCCATTTTACAAAACCACCCCTTATTGACACTCTTTCTCTATCAATATTTCAGATATACTCCATATCAATATGAGATACATTTGAAGCACGGATTAAAGAAAACATAATTCTGAGATATTACACGCGAAGCCAGATTGGATGCTGCGATGAATATAGTCTCGATCAAATAAAACAATAAAATCTTTATTGATCAAGTTACATTTCTAAAATACTCTTGAAATGTGGTTTAAATCTTCCAAAAAATTGTAAAACCGCTCTGCAATAGCCATATTACGCGATCGCGCGCACTTGTGTGAGTGTGTGTGTATTCGTGTGTGAACGAGTATACGGCTCACCTGAATTAATAACTTTATAGCTAATGCCATTACATACACATATGTGCCATATAAAGTCATATAACTAATGCTTTTACATTAAAAGTTACTCTGTTATTGTGTTTAACCATTTTATCTATAACTGTTTACAATTATAATTATATGTTATATATAATATGTAATATGTAAAAAGACTTTTTTTGTATATAAAAACCGATTGTTTTTATATTGATAGGTACAAAATTTCTGTGTAACATTTACTGCACTTTCCTCTTTTGTTCCCCAAAACATTTGGATCATAAATCAAATTGTTTGCATTTTTAAAACTGTAAGAAAATATATAATTCTTTTACAGTGATTTGCCCTCATACTATTAATCTTCGTAAGTTTTCAGTGCAAAACTTTACTTTTTGTACTGTTCTTTGAGTCTTCTCCATTTCCAGAAATATGGTTTTGGAGGCGCCACCCCATATTGGAATACAGTATGCTAGTTAAGATTATATTAACGCTATATGTAACATCAAAAAATAAACTACTTACAGTTTATTTTTTGAAGTTATGTATCTACTCGTAAGTTGCTTAAAAACATGTATTAAGTTTATAAACCTACCGGTATGTTAATATGTAGCTATTAGTGGCTATTCGACAGTCGTTAGTCTGTATAATATACTTGATTATTTAATAGGTGGTATTGTTTCTGTTTTGACAAGTACAATCAGTATCATAATATACGTTTTTTACATTTAATTAATAAAACTTTTAGCCGAAAATATATTGAATACATAATGTTTTCAAGCGCTCAATTTTATTAATTGCTTCTCTAGTGTCCTAATAAAATTGTTATACCCAAAGAAGGGCGGACATCAGCGTAATCTAAAATTGGCAAGATAAGAGTCTGGACTAGAGAAATCTTGGTTAAAAAAGGCAAAAAAATATTTTTGCCGTTTTAGATAATGAAAAGTCTGAATAATTTTCGTGCTTATAGTAAAAACGCTTTAGTTTTCGACAGTATCAATGTGGGGAATTGGTACAAACCTTTGTTTTGCAAAGTTTGGAGAGGGCTTTCCGTATAATTTGAAAAGCAAAACGTATTCTTTAGTTAATTGTTCATGTTGTGGTCACAAAGTATGGTCATGTTAGAGTTTAAAAGTATGATTGCAATAATAAGAATTTATTAAATATGCCCGATTAATCACTTTTTTCCTAATCTACTATGACTTAAACGAATTTCACGGATTTTGTGTCGTTTTATTTTCACCTTTTTTAATTGCCAATTTTTGAGCGCTTTGCAGCATCCATGGCGACGAGAAGAGAGACGACTCTCTCGTCATGTTTCTACGACTGGATATCATAGTTGGCCATCTTCAGCATTTTAATGATAACGTTTTGGCTTGATCAGAATGAACTACAAAATACTTTTGAAATGTTACAGCTATTCGGGTTTAGATTTAGTTTTGTTTATTAAAGAATCCTAAGCAGATGTTAGATTTGAAGTAATGTTTGCGAGAGGATGCATTAACGCAATAACGGGCTACTTTACGAATGGTATTATATTTGAACCATTAAAAAAATATTTTAAAAATCGAGTGCGAACATGTTTGCTCTTGGGAAATTACGTCTTTTCATTTAGAATTTTGGATTTTTCCTGCATTATATTAATTACATAGGTTGCACGCGAGTAAACATCCAGAACCGAAACAATTTAGTCAAAAAAGTAAAAGCCTTTACATTGCAGGAAGAACTGGAAGTGTGTAAAATCCCTACCGTAAGTTTTAATAGGAATAAATGTAATTTTAAATTTATTATTAATGCAAAACACTATATAGTGACGGTGTAAAAAAATCCACTGCCTCATAATATCATCCCGTTGGTGTCGTAAAAGGTGACAGAAGGAAAGAAACCAGGAGATGGGCAGCAGCGTCTTCCTAGTAACGATTAAAAATAAAAAATAAAACTGTGGTTGCCAACCCGCTTGCAAGCGTGGCAAATAGGGCAAATATCCCATCTATGAGGCAATCTATAGGGGAGGCCTATGCTCAGCAGTGGACTTTAATATGCTGTAACGGTAACGTTATGCAAAACAAGAAAAATATTCCAAACGTAACATATTTAAATTATTAGGTACTTGTTAAATTGCCGAATGAAACTGCCGCCTTTTTTAAATTTAACTCTGCAATACCGCTCTGCGTGGTTTGTATATCACCATAGACAAAGAAAATTCGTATTAATATAAGTTCCGAATTGGAAACAATGCGCCTCAAACAGCACGCAAGCACGCAATATCAATGACGTATCTAGTGAACGAATTGTACGTTATTTGTTCAGTCGCTTCCGCTTAGGAAATTTTGACCTCACAAATGAACCTTGTGGCGGCCTGAAAAAGATTGTTGATAGTGGTGAACTGAAGGCGATAGTAGAATCGGAACCATCTCAACCAGCGTTGGCTATCATTTGCGGTAATCAGTAAAATAAAGAAGTTTGACAAATGGTTACCTCATGAACTAACACCCAAAACAGTCCACATACTGTATAAAAGATAGTAGAAAAATTAGTTCTGCTAATTTTTCCCTTTCCGCTTCCCCCTAATTGACCCTTTCTTATTCAACATATTCTCTAGACTTTGCTCCAAATAGACTTCCTAACTTTATTCTAGGCAAATAATTCAATTCCAAAATAGCAGGAAAAATCGCCTTTTAAGAGATCATGGATCCACGCAAAGCAGACTGACTTTTATAGCAATAATATCAACAATGGCCCATAGAGTTTTGTACGTGGTAGAGCCATGCTGCAGCTATATTAGTAGTATAGTTGCTGCAGCTATATTAGTAGAATGGGTCGGCTCGACCGGGGAAGGACCACGCTCTCACAGAAAACCAGCTTAAAATAGCAGCTTAACGCTGCTGTGTATCGTATGGTAAGTGTAGAGAACCGGAGACCCTTTTTACTGGCAAAGAGGCATTCCATCTTAGTCCTCACGGGTGACAACGCATCTGCATCTTGAGTCTTTATTGAGGATAGATGTAGATGTCTATGGGTCACAGTAACTACTTACCATCAGGTGGACTGTGTGCTCGTTTGTCACCCTATCCTATATAAAAAAGAGTAATTTATTAATTACCTTTATTTATTTATTACAATTTATTATAGTTTTTTAAATTTATTAAACTAAATTAAAAAAATGGCTATTTCTATGGGGGAGCCTATTTTCAGCAGTGAACTTTAATAAGCTGTAACGATGCGGTACGGTAATTGAATAAAGTAAACTTTTAAATGTTGTAATAATAATATTGATTTGTAATAGTTTTAATTATTTGTAAAATCAGACCGCATCGTGCAGTCTTGCAAGCTAATTACTATTGTGATTGTGCTGTCTATAACACACTTGTATCTGAAAAAGTATTGAAATTTTTTAATACTGTTTTCAACCACTTGACGTCTAGATAATTTGAAAATTTGCATTAAAAGAACACACAGAATACACGCAAGCGTAAATTATTTTGCAAATGAATTATTGGTAGGCATTAAGGCGGAAAAATATATCAAGCGGTTAAGGTGGCCACCTTAAAACCGCAAACATTTATCTAATTTATAAATTGTGTACGATACATCAACGGCAATCGACTACACCTTGTATTAGCCGGCTACACCCAGGTGTATCCGCACTTCGGCTATTAGCCGTAATATAAATATAAATGTTTTTAACATGTTATTTCTAAATTTTGCTCGGTACGTCGACCCTGCAAGTTTAAACGCTGAAAGTACGATGACTGGTTACCAGTTATGTGTACGTTGTACTGACTAGTTAATATATTGAATTAAGATGCCGCAACGTAGAAAGAAATTTCTAATGTTACAATCATAAAATTGTTGAATAAGGCCAATAAAGAATTTAATTGTATTGTCTGCGAATTAAAATTTTTAGTGATCAGATGTATATTTGTTAGAAACTTCACAACAATAACTTTAATGTATTTCAATTATTATTCAGTAACGCAAATTACTCATTAATTTTATAAACAAAATTAGAATATAAAGAAAAACATAAAAAAAGGTTTTTGAAACAACGAACTTGTCTCAAAAAAGGCTACACAAATGTTAACATTTCAAATGTTTGTTACAGCATATGCGTTGGTCGCACACGCACACCCAAAGTTTGGAGTGTGAGGAGAGATTGCTGGCGCGGTGTAATCGGCCGCGCGTTAACTCTGCAATTTTTGTATCGGCTGAGCCAACTGGATTCGCTGGCTTTGATCCTGGCGAGTTCCTAAGGCGTCATGGTTCTCAGTCTAAACTTTGTCGCAAAGCAAGGTAAAACTTTCATGTTAAGAAAATTGACGTGTCTGATTAAGCATAATAAAGACTTAAAGTTAATGAAAATGTTTTAGTTATATAAATGTATGTAATGTGTATGTAGTATTGATAAATTCATTTTGCCATAGGTCTGCTGACAACATACCACTAACAACGATGAGCGACTCCTCGGAGCGGCTTTGTAAAGCTAAGGCTCCTAGGGAAGAAACAATTAATGAAGAAGCGAGTAAGTCTGACGATAGTGGAAGTGTCGAGACGGTAAAGCACTTTGGCCTTCCTATTCTCTCAGTCTCCGGTCCTTCACCTCCAGTAGAAGATTACGACCAAATAGATGAGTACCTGTAGCATTTCCATACTAGTTTCCAGCTGAAATATGTGCTGGAAAAAATGAGGCCACCTTGGCCCAGTCCTGCACAAAGTCCTAAGTCTGATGATTAGACTTACGATATCTAGCACTCAGCGCATGGAAACTGTCTATTATACTTTCCTTCCACAGTGTCTTGGTCACAGAACTACTATGTATGTGATATTCACGCCACATCGATTTTCGTCTGATGACTTTTACCGTGTCTTGTCAAGGGACCATAGTGATTTGTGTGAAGTGTTTTTCATTATTCCTTTAGATATAAATTTATATAACTATATCCCCATATTCTCTATTGAGTGATAAGTTGAATTGAACCAGTGGTTTAATTACTTATTATAATATACTTAATACTATGTAAGAAGTGCACAAAAGTTCGTAATTAAATTTTAAAAGTGCCACTTTTATTCTTAATTTCTATACAAGAATGGTGTCTATATATGTATTCTTCTAAGCAATCTCTTCTAAGCGTAACATAAATATAGTATATATAAATAATAATCTCCAATATCGTAAAAATTTTAATAAAACTTCGTTTGTAAACTCTAGTGAATACGAGTAGATCATTTCTTAATAATAGGCAAGAATTTAGTAGTTATAATATACTTAAACAAAAAAAAAAAATGAATACCATTACTATTCATACTTACTATAGAAAACTATTTTATCTATCAGTAGCATAAATTATTATGAAGTGAATTGAAGGTTGAATTTTGGTCCAATGAAATGTAATAACTGCACGACACTTGGTGTTATAGTAAATGTAAGAAATCTTATAGAGATAACGGAAGTAAATCAAGGAGTAATGTGACTTTGGAGTGCTTAGATAATTACTTAATATATTCATAGCATATAGACTTGAAAATTATAGTTTAAATAATAGTAATTACACAATTATAGAATTTAATATATTTAATAAATTTTCTTTAAATATTTTCTTTTCAAATTATGGTGTCAATTAAGGACCTATAAATTATAAAAATATTTACAGGAATATTTATAAGATTGGTGTTAAGACCTAAAGGCACTAATTAGGTCTGCATAATGTTTTGTTTACAATTTTGTACTCGACTCTTTGAAATTCACATTGATTGGTACTGGTAATTTGGGACCAGATGGAAAATTATGTAACTATGTACTTTGGGTGAACTCATTTAAAAACAGTCATAAAATAATTGTAAAAGTAAGACTATTTAATTCCCTCCAATATCATTAAACTCATATTTATTCAAAGTTCATGTACATTTTAATTATAATTCGATCGCTACTCCTCTTTTTAATTAAACTTTACTATTGTGTGTTTATAAAAATATTGTCTAATAAATGTTGGTCAATTAAATGAAAATCAATTTAATATATATTTTTTATAATTTATACTTGCGATGGTTGGCACTTGGTAAAACTTCATCTTTGTTTTGGATTGACATACGTACCTGATTAAAATCATGCCCTGATGATGCCGTAAGTCAAAATCGATCGACTTTATAAAAAATGAATTTGTAAACAAGTACATGTTGTGTCAATGCAAATCAATTTTTTTTTAATTTAATATCAAACCAGATTTTAATTAAGTTGCAGAACCAAAGTAAATGTAGAATTGTTCTTGATTAGAATTATTATTTCTAAGTGGGTCTACTCGTAAATATATTAAGTACAACGATGATAGAATTGTTTGTTAATGATTCCTTATAATTAGAAAATCTATAATTACGCTAGCATTTTAGATGATATATTGAGTATTTCAAAATAAATCATTGTGGAAAGTTACAAAAGACGGGAAGATATTTTAACGAAAAAGATGCTGTTACAAGTAACATGTGACTTGTTTTACGTACGAAAGAAGTTATATTGTGCCAAGAAACAATTATTTCCATAGCCACTAAAGCCTATTATTTTATAGATTATATAAAATAATCCAGTCTCCTTGTACTCAATATTAAGAAAACAGACAAAACCTTTCACTCATATTTTCTTCGATTCTAAATAAATAAGTGAGTAGTTTTATTAACTATAATTAAATCAAGAAGGAAGATGTACATATCTATAAAAACACAATGTATGCTCATATACCCAATTATTGTAAGATAAGTTATTTGTAATGAACAAACTAATTGTAATTATATTGACATCTACTATGGTACTTATTAATTATCACAATGAAATAAAATATTGACAATTTTTAATAGTTTTTTTTAGATTTCGTTTACGCAATTAAAGACGATAAACGGGAAAACATTCCAACTGATGGCAATAAAGTACTGTAGCTTATAGACAAAATGTACATCCTCAATTGGGTATCATTCCCCACAACCATATTAGTTCTCACAGAACTAAAGTCGAATGCTTTGTTATCATTAGGGCTTTGTATCAAAAGATTCCCTGGTTGCCGTCCATACCCTATATATTTATATATTTTTTATGCAACAATATATTGGGGGTTTCCATAAGAGGTTGCTTGTAATATTGATTGGTGTAAATTAAATGAAGATGTGTTAGACAAATCAATTCTAGCCAACGCAAACAATACCCTCGTCATTTTTTTATTATTTATGTTGGAAAATTGATCTATAATCCTAGAGGAAGTAGACAGAGACCTTAGCAACGAGATATTCAGACTACGTTTAGCCAAAAAATATGGATTTAACTGGAACATTGTAAACTAAGTGATAGTGAAGAAATATTAATGTATGTTTTTGTTATCTGACTTTTTTTTACAAAAGTCAATATATATGGCAGTACAAGTATAATAAATCACAAAATTGACAAACTTTACGTTTCAATCCTACTCGAAAGATACTCCAAGATGATTATACTAACACAACCTCCATATATGAGAACTGACATAAAGACCGAAATGCAGATGACGTCCTCAGTATTCTTACTCATATTTTTCGAAATTTTAAAAATATTGGTCTTGAACCAAATAGCAATAAATGTGAAATATTTTTTTCCAATAATTTATCTACTTCTCATAGAGACAGTTTAATTCAAAATTTCAATCATGTTTCTCCAGGAATAAAAACTGTCAGTACGTAATCACTATACCTACTAGGTGCCCCGTTCTTTTTCGATAGCATTAAAGTTTTAAAAACAAAATTTAATCAGTTTTTAAACCACGTTGGTAAATTGTATAAATTAAATCACCACATAGCTCTTACTATTTTAAAATATTATTTTCTTGTACCTAGATTTAGATACTTACTCCGCTCGAGTCTAGTCTGAAAATATTTTAAAAGATATTGATAATAATCTTAAAATAGCTATAGAAAAAATTCTAAATTTAACTTTAAATACAACAACCTGGACTCAAGTTACTTTCCCTATAAAATTTGGTAGTATTGGTGTGAGAAATCTTTATAGCGTTGCATTGCCGCTTTCTTTGCTTCCGTTTATAGTGTCAGTGACTTATGTAACATAATTTTAAATAATAAAGTAGACGTGTGCTTTGCTACGGAGGCAGGGCAGACATGGTAAACGCTCTGTCCCGGTGAAAATGTTCGACTGGAAGTTAACCAACAAAAACAGTGGGATATTCCGTTGGTACAGGGCGTGTAGAAAGATTTGTTTCATAATTTCAATAGTGACCAAGATAAGGCACGCCTTCTAGCTGTTTCGACTAAGGAATCTAGTCACTGGTTACACGCTTTACCATCAAGTTTTCTCGGCACATTACTTGATGGGGAAAGCTTGCGCATTGCCGTAGGAATCCGACTAGGAGCGGCGATTTGTCAACCCCATCAGTGCCCCTGTGGTAGCAGCGTCGACAAGTTTGGACTCCACGGACTTTCATCTAAGAAAAGTGCTGGTAGGTTTTCACGACACAGTTCTTTGAACGATGTCATCCGAAGGGCTCTTGTCTCTATAAATATTCCCTCGGTTTTAGAGCCTTGTGGAATATTTAGAGACGATGGCAGGAGACCCGACGGTATGACATCGGTCCCTTGGGAGAGAAGTAAAGCGCTAATGTGAGATGTAGACACTCTGGCGGCCTCTCATTTCAGGGGTACCTCGTTTAGAGCCGGGGCGGCATCAGAGGCAGCTAAACTCAGTAAGTGGCGCAAATATGAGTCTCTGAGAGATGACTACATATTTGTGCCATTTGCTATAGAGACTATCGGTCCGTGGGGTCCACGTGCGGTGAAGTTTCTAAAGGAACTCCATCCGCGGTTGGTCGTTGCTGCTGGTGATAAGAGGGCTGGTTCTTTTCTCGCTCAAAGGCTAAGTATAGCCATTCAGCGGGGAAACGCAGCCAGCGTTCTGGGCACGATACCGCGGGGAGTAGGAGTATATGATAATCAAGTTTCTAGTTTTAGTTTTTTTATTATTATAGTTTTTAAGATGTATAATGAAAAAAAATGTTTGTCAAAATTAACACTTTCTCTGTCCCGTGCACTACGTGATAAACGAACAAGTGATAAACAAACTTACTATCCATGTGACAGTAAGTGGAGTCTACTACAGTCTATAGATACCTGCAGTCAACTTCAAACAAGGGAACTGCTTTTTGCTGAAAATCAGGCATTCCATCTTAGTTCTCAAAGGTGACAACGCAGGATAAATGTTGATGTGTACGGGCAACAGTATTCAATTACCGTCAGATGGACTGTATGCTCGTTTGTCACCCTATTCTATAAAAACAATGAAATAAGTATATTCACTTAAGTAAGAAGTTCAAAGAAGTCCGCAATATACTCTATCTACCCATCATAGATTAAACATAATAAAATAAATACTTCGTAGCGGTATAACATTTAGGTACAGCATGTTTTTCCCATGGTGAGCTTTATGTAGTTTGCTTAAGTATTTCTAAGGCACTACCCGTATTTGCTGAGCAAATAAAATAGTTTAATATGGTTTGTAAAAGTATAACGCTCTACTGAAATACACAGTACAATTATAACTTTACTTAAAAATTTCAGTAATAACTTCGATAGCTTTTAATTTTTTAACGCAAGCAAAGCCGCGTATAATGGCTAGTGTCCTTAAAGTCCTTTCATTGGTTACTAGCCAATTTATTCTACAATAGACTTGCAATTTCTATTTAAACAACAATGCTCTTCGCTCTATTGTGTGTATTCTTTATTCAATTGAAATTTGTACCGGAATCGTAACATTTGCAGCAGAAATCTTGATTCACTTTGAAGATAAGTTCAGTGTAATTTAAAATTTATCGTTATTCGATTATATTTGATCTCGTTACTTGCCTTAAGAGACTCATAAATATATCTCATATTACCATCATCATCATCATCTCTATAGCCCATCTCAATTAATTACACTGTATGGACACACGTAAAGTACGGTCCTATGTTATCTGTATTCATTGGGTACATGTTTTTACAAATTTCATCAGGTCAGCACTGCTCTAGTAGGGGGTTGCCCAAAACTGCACTTACCATTACGAGGATGTCATTAGAGAAACTTGTTCCCTATCAGCTGTTGGTTTTTTGAACTATATGATCGCCTCATCATTGCCACTTCAGTCACTGATTCAGTGGCGAACTATGTTAGTTACACTTGTTCAATTTTGGATATATCGTTATGAACGCAGACAGATTTTGAGCATAGAATCACGCCATTTCGTCTCAGGGGTGTCGTAAGAGGCGACTATGGAAAATGCAGAAGAAAACTTATGGCTTCTGTTTACGTCAAACATAAAATAGTCAGACATCTCACAGCGTCCATGGCCTGTAGTGAACTTTTGCGGACTGATGATGACGAAGAAGAAGAAAATGCTACGCCTTCATATTTAAATGCTTTACTACAGGTAAATCGAAAAGATTTTGCATATTTTACCTTTAGATCTAGTAACAGAAATTCGCAAAATATGTTCTCAAACGATGTCGTTGTATCAACTATTAGTGATAATAGGTATTCAATTATACACATTAGTTATTAATATTGGTATTGTCTTTGTGCAGTGCTCCCTCAGACATCGCTGCAGCATAACGAGTTGGGTTGTCGTTCATACACTGTTACGTACAGTGCCCTCTAAACTGTTACCCATACACTTTACGTTACATAGTTTTTATTTTGCGTTTGAAAAAGTTTTGGACAATTTAATTTTTATTTTATACATTTTATACAACGTTGCCGTAGTTCAATATTAAAAGATTAAGATAGTTCATGAATACTTAATGACACTGGCTCACATTTTGATGTATATTGATGATTTTATAGGTATATTCCACATCTTTATATGTCAACATCTCTCCGGGCGAGGTGTTCAGCCTAGGGAACGGCCATAACCCCGCTTGGTAGTGTTCTATAATAAAACAATATATAGTGCTTAAAACTACTTTTTCCTACATTTTGATACTAATATCTATAGGTGTAAACTTATTTGTATTTAAATTTGTCTGTAAGAGGTAATCTGTCTCTGGAACTGCTGATCATATTCTGAATTTTATTTATCGATACGATACGATATTATTTCGGAATATTATGTTAAACATTCCGGAATAGTATCGTATCGTATCGTTATGTTGTATTGTAATATTTAGGTGGTAGAGCAATGCTGTAGCTATATTCATTGTGTAGTTGTAGCACGAACAGTTCGGCTCATCCGGGGAAGCACCACGCTCTCACAGACTACCAGCGTAAAATAGCGGCTTAATGCTGCTGCGTTTCGTATCGTGAGTATAGAGAACAGGAGCCCCTTTTTCCTCACGGCTTACCACGTATCTGTATTTTGATTCGCAAACGAAGATAGAAGTAGATGTCTATGGGTCACAGCAACCACTTACTATCGGGTGGTATCCTATGAAAAAAAAATATCAAAATTCGTTTTCAGTATGAGATCAGACGTTTATTGTTTGTTTTATTTAATGAAAATCTTATGACAAATAGAAGATGGAAGCAAATTTCTCCATAACTTACATATCAGTTCGCCAAAAAACTGACTTCTTTCGTGACAACTATATTCAATCTCTTATTTAAAGAAGGTTTTATTAGGAAAATACAGTCGATGAAACAAAGTAACTTTAAATTTAATAAGGTATACATTAATGAAATGGTTGTTTAAAATACAAATACATTATAAATCGCGTTTATTTCTTTGTTGCTAGTTGTTTTCCCGCGAAAATAGTTGAAATCAAGGTCAGCTATGAGATTACAATATTATTGATGAAATAAAATGAATAGGCGCAAATGTTAGCAAATTTTATTATATCTATTA